GGCTGGGCCCGGGAGCCTGAGCGTCCGGAGCCTGTGCTCCGCAATAGGAGAGGCCAGAACAGGGAGAGGGCCCCGCGATCCAAAAAAAAAAAAAAAAAAAAAAAAAAAAAAAAAATCCATATGTATATATACATACATATATATATATTTTTCCCCCCTTCCATTGTATCCTTTCTTCCATTAATCTAACACGGTACCAAAAAAAGCTCCAATTACCTCATGAGGAGGGCTGAAAAATATGTGCTCACTGTGAAGGTCAAATTTTTGATCCTGAATATAAAATAGAATAAAACTCCCTGAATGTTAAGCCAGTGATTCTGACTGCTTTGAGGAATGTAGGGGAGTGAGGGTGAGTTGAGGCTGGGAGACAAGTTAGGAGACATTGTAGCAGGTCCACAGAGAGAGTGGTGGCTTGAAATATAGTGGTCACTGAGGAAATGAAGAGACCTGCACACATTCCAAATGGATTTTGGACAAGGATACAAGATTTGCTTATGGGCAAGAGGTGAGGAATGGGAAATGAGGGAAAATAATCTACGTTCCAGTGTTTGGACTTGAACACCTGGGTTGAAGGTGTTGCTATAAATTCATCTGGGAACATTAGCAGCGATACAAAAAAGATGGGGGAAAGCCTGTCATGTAAGTCTGAGATGCCTATTAGATATGCAAGTGGAAATGTCTTGCACGTAGCCAGAAAACTGAATGCGAATCTCAGGTTGAAATCAAGCACTACTCTGCGGGTCATTTCTGGGGATAGGACCCCATATGCCCCCCTCCCACCTCTTGTTTGTAGAAAAGCTTAGAGCAAATTGAATCAGAGAAGCGAGAATGTGCAGAAACAAATGAAAACAGTCAACTAAGACAAAATAAGAGCTTAGCCATGAAACAAAGTCAAGGACCTTCAGTTTCTTCTCCAGGCCTTTAGATAATATCCTGAGCCATATCCCTGAGTTGTTTTGCAGATACCAAAACCCAACAAGGTAGAAAAAGTTAACTACATGCTGACCACAAGAATGTATAACCCAGACCTGCTGAAACCAGAAGGCTGATGATTGAGATCCCTGAAAACATCACCCTGTTACTTCACCATCAACCAATCAGAGACTTGAGCACAAGCTGATCATACACCCCGAGACCCTCTCCCTCACACTGTTGTTAAAAACTCTCCCCGTAAAGCAGCTGGAGAGTTCGGGTCTTTTCAGCATGAGTGGCTGGTTCTCCTTGCTTGGCCTGTAATAAACACTGTACTTTCTTTCACCAAACCAATGCCAGTAGATTGGCTTCACTGTGCTTTGGGGGAGTGGACCAGAGTTTGGCTGAGTAACAAGGTGGAATGTCAGGTTTGAAAATAAACATGAGGAGATATCATCCTTTTGATGGTGCTGGGGTCATAAGAGTGGATAAACTCACTAGCAAAAGCGTGGAGAGGGCTTCCCTGGTGGTGCAGTGGTTGAGAGTCCACCTGCCGATGCAGGGGACACGGGTTCGTGCCTCGGTCCGGGAAGATCCCACATGCCGCGGAGCGGCTGGGCCCGTGAGCCATGGCCGCTGAGCCTGTGCGTCCGGAGCCTGTGCTCCGCAAACGGGAGGAGGCCACAACAGTGAGAGGCCCGCGTACGGCAAAAAAAAAAAAAAAAA